AGGCAAAATGGGGTCCAACCCGTTACTAGCATGGTGTACCTAATAAAGTGGCCGGTGAGTGTAGGTAATGCATTCATTGTTTAGTCTTTCAGTTCACTTTGATATTTATTCATTTTATCTGCTCTTACCCACATAGATAAACTGAGCAAGTTACAAGATATTAAAAATGTTTAGTTATTTTAGGTTTTACTTGTACCTACTAACTACTTTACTAAATGATCCAGCAGTTAGTTGGGACTTCTTCCCATGCAGCTACTATCTATGTGTAACATTATATACTTTATTGTGGCAACAAAAACACAACTAAAACAAGTTCTAGAGCTGATTTATAGCTTCAGTATATTCATAAAAATTCTCACCTACGAAAATAGAACAAAAATCACAGAGCAAATACATCAGGTTTGTATAACTGCATAAATGTACTGGTTGGATTTGTTTGTGAGTGAGTGAGTGAGTGAGTGAGGGGGGGAGGGAGGGAGTACGTACGTGCGTACGTACGTACGTAACTGAGTAAGTAAGTAAGTACGTACGTAACTGAGTAAGTAAGTAAGTACGTACGTAACTGAGTAAGTACGTAAGTATGTATGTACGTAACTGAGTAAGTACGTAACGAAGTAAGTAACTGAGTAAGTAAGTAAGTAACTGAGTAAGTAAGTAAGTAACTGAGTAAGTAAGTAAGTAAGTAAGTACGTACGTAACTGAGTAAGTACGTAACTGAGTAAGTACGTAACAAAGTAAGTAAGTAACTGAGTAAGTAAGTAAGTAAGTAAGTAAGTAAGTAAGTACGTACGTAACTAAGTACGTAACTGAGTAAGTACGTAACGAAGTAAGTAAGTAACTGAGTAAGTACGTAAGTAAGTAACTGAGTAAGTACGTAAGTAAGTAACTGAGTAAGTAAGTAAGTAAGTAAGTAAGTAAGAACGTAACTAAGTAAGTAAGTAAGTAAGAACGTAACTAAGTAAGTAAGTAAGTAAGAACGTAACTAAGTAAGTAAGTAAGTAAGAACGTAACTAAGTAAGTAAGTAAGTAAGAACGTAACTGAGTAAGTAAGTAAGTAAAGTTTTATTTATAAAACGCCTTTCACAGAAATATATTCACAAAGTGCTGTACAATCATCATCATCAATGTAAAAATGGTGGAAAGACAAAATAAAACACAATAGAACATAGTCAAAAATTAATAAAACTTACCAAAACATAAACAACATAATGAAACTTCAAAACAAGAAGAACAAATTCTAAATTGTAACTCAGACACGGTCAAGGCAGAGCATGACAAGAGGAGTGATTATGTACAAAACAAATAAGAAAAATTGTTGGATAGGGGGGCGGGGTGGAATTTAAGCCATTTTATACAATAATACAAAAAACAACAGAGAAAAAAAAGGTTGGGGGGGGGGGGTGGATTACGCCGAATGTTCAATTATACGAAGACCCATGGTTGGTGAGCAGACAAGGGGTAGGCTGGCATTAATGGTGAATGGTTAGCTAAACAAACGCTTGAGTAAAAAAAAGCAGGTTTTTAGGTGTTTCTTAAAGGAGACAATGTTGTCAAGGGAGCGCAGATTAACAGGGAGTTCATTCCAGAGCCTGGGGGCCACAGAGGAGAAGGCACGGTCACCACGGGTCTAAAAGTGAGTGTGGGGAACCATAAGGAGATGTTGATCCTGTGAGCGGAGGTCTTGTCTGGGGTTGTAAGGTGAAATGTAATGACATTTAATGTATTCTGGGGCTTGGCCATGAAGAGCTCTGAAGGTGAGGACCAGGATTTTGAACCAGATTCTGAATTGAACCGGAAACCAGTGAAGTTCTGCTAGGATCGGGGAGATGTGGGTGAATTTGGAGGTTCGGGTTAGGAGTCTTGCTGCCGAGTTTTGGACAAGCTGAAGATGATTTAACTGTTTCTGTTTTATATCAAATGATGTGTGACCCAGCAGCTGCTTTGCGCATATACATTTAACTATGTGGATGATGTGTAACTGTTTGTGATAACCAGTTAATCACACAGAAAATAAAAATCTTGAATTCATCCAGTTTTATAGAAACTGATGTAAAACTTGGTGTAGTAGTAGAGGGAGGTCTAACACACGAGTGATAACCGATTGCACAAAATCGTTGTTTAAAATTTTGCCATTAACTATTTGCAGTAGGCTCTGTTGTTGTGTTAAAATTAATATGTCATGCTGAACTAATGCACAAATGATAATGAAACTTTCAGGGTGTGTTCATGTTAACATTTCATTGATAAACATGCACAACAAATAGCATTTAGTTTAAATGTTGGCAACTACACTAAATTTTAGTGTAATACATTTAAAACTTTGTGTTTTTGGAGGTGGGTTGGCTGTGTTGGTCATCAAATTTAATCTGCTGTTGATGTTGCCATCTTTTATGTTCTCCTGTATGTGAGAAAATATCTCATAAAATGTTTCCACGTGGACCTAAGGTTGAAACAATACAACTTTGTTTGAACACAAAGCCCTTTTCTATGTGCACGAGGCCTCAGTTAGTGAGACCCCGTATCCACCGTAAAAACAAAACAAGATTGTTTTCTGTGTTTATGAGACTTCACGGATGAGAATTAAGTGCTTTTCGTTTTTCAGGTCTCATCCGGGATCCCAACAACCAGCTGCAGACGGTGAAAAACCTGCGTATTTGTGTAAACAACCTGGTTACAAGTCCGATCCCAACATCTGGCTCCATGAGCCCGGCTCAGTACCGAATGCTCAATGAGGTGGTGTTATCCTTCCAGCCACAGGAGGGCGCTCAGGCCACTGTCATTAAAACTGGAGACTATTCCCTAAACCTGAGTGGTAAGAGCCTGAGCTCCCTGGTGTTTTTTGAAGTTCCTTTTAGTTTTGTTGTGTTGAAGTTTACAGCTTATCTGAAATGTATTCAAATACTTCTTTCAAAAGACTCATTGTATTTAGTTACATTTTAAGCAGCAGGTACAGTGAGGCAACATATTTTTAAACTTACAGTTATCCAGTAAACAGTTTAGTTTAGATTTTGGTCTTAAAAAACGTATAGTTTTAAAACCTGAAATGCTTTACAAGTGATTGTTAGACTGTTTATTCAGTTGTTCGTTATTGGTGTAGCTCTTCTTTATTTAATTGCAGCGGAGTCTGAATAGTTTATTTTATTCTCTGTTTCTAGTAACCACGCCCTGGTTTGAAGCCTACAGGGATCATTTCCTGCAGTCGATGCCGGCCTTGGACCATGAGTTCCTGAATCATTACCTTGCCTGTATCCTATTACCAGAAGGGTTTGACCCAGTTCAGTGTCTGTCCTGCGATTTAATCCAGATGCTATTTACTAATTGGATATCAGATAAATCAGTCTGTGTAAACTGTTCTTATTCGGTCATTGGATTTGTTTTCTTTTCTTTGATTTTTTGCCACATTTATATCCATAAATTTGACCCAGTGTGCGTTCAGAATTGAAAGGGCAGTGAGGATAATACATAGGGCTGGGTATTGATTCAGATTTACCAAATTGATTTGATTCGATTCACAGGGGCCTGATTCAATTCAAGTTGCAATTCACAACGATTCAGGACAATTCACGATTCAGTTTTATTGATTTTTAAATTAGTTAAGGATATCATGTAGTAACACATTTATTTTGATATAGAAGACATTCTCAAAGGAACTAATTCTGCAAACAGTAGAAACTAATTCTAACTTGGTGCATTGGTAAAATGATAAACATAAAGGGCAAACTTGTACATTGAAGTTTAATCTTGAAACAAAACTGTCTAAAGTTTCAAGGGGTTTAAACTAAAAAGGAATTGCAAGAGAAAGTGTTGTTAAATACATTAGTTTTTAAAGGGATCCATGATTAGTTGTAACATCAAACTTTATTTGATAAACATATATTTTAACTGTAAAATAAAGACTGTAAAAATACTGTAGGATGTTTAGTTTTGTAAAGTTTTTAAAAATATATTTTAACACGGACGTAGCCATTTTATTTACATGCAAAGCATTCTGGGTAAATGATGACATCAACTAGGTCATCGGTGCGAGGCTGCTAGTGAGCTGTATCCACCCTGAAGGTTAATCTTGGACAATATCTGATGATCGACTCTTTTAAATGAAACCAGAGAGCGTTGACAGAGAGGAGAAGGTAGAAATGACTCAGCTGTAACTGAAAATATAGATGGAGGACAACAGAGCTGCTTCATGGAAGAAGAACCTCAGCTTAGCCTGTTAGCCTTCGCGCTAGCCCTCACGCTATATTGCCTTATACTGTATGTATTAGCTCGGTGCTAGAGCAACAAACAAGCTAAACTGAGGACCTCCATCCATATTTTCAGTTTCAGGCTGAGTCATTTCTACCTTCTCCTCTCTGTCAACGCTCTCTGGTTTCATTTAAAAGAGTCAATCATCAGATATTGTCCAAGATTAACCTTCAGAGTGGATATAGCTCGCTAGCAGCCTCGTGCCGATGACCTAGTTGATGTCGTCGTTTACCCAGAATGCTTTGCGTGTAAATAAAAAGGCCCCGTCCATGTAATATATTTTTAAACTTTTAGTTTAAAAATTATAAAAACTAAACATCCTACAGTATTTTTACAGTCTTTAGTTTACAGTTAAAGTATATGTTTATCATATAAAGTCTAATGTTACAACTAATCAGGGATCCTTTTAAGAAGTTAAGAATAATTTTCTTGATCACTAAGAAGTGATGGAAAAGGTTACAGGAGAAGAGGTGGGATAATATAAGTGTTTACATATGCCTACTCTTTTGAGAGTATGATAATTTTATATTTGTAATGTTTCTGTTACATTCCGTCCAATAAAACTTAACAAGAAGAAAGAAAGGGGAAAAAAGGTACTTCAGCTAAAATGTTCCATCACTGTGAATTACATGAAGATATTTCTTAAATGTAAAAATAATATTAGTAACAAAACTAAACACTTGTTGTCATCTTTCACACTTTTATACATGCCGAGGAGAACAGTTTCTGTCAGATGTTTACATACCGTAGTTTTGGTTCGAACGCAAATCTTTGCAAACAAAAGTTGTCATGGCCTCTGTTATCTTCAAGTTCAGCTGAGAATCAGTTGTAATGTTAGTGAGTCCTTAGTTTCGTTTGTTTTGACCCAGACAACTTGTTGTTGGGAGCTAACATTAGCGCTGACTGTCAACCGGCTGTAAACCTACGGCAAGCCAGTAGTGACACACAACACGGAAATACACAGTTTCATCACACACAACACCCATGGGGAAAAATCGATCTCATGACTTATGAATCGATCTTCCCAAATATGAACGAAAATTGATCCAGATCAATTAAATAGATTTTTTAAACCCAGCCCTAATAATACATGACATGTCAGACAGGAGTATCAGGAGGTCGTCTGCATAAAGAGTTACCTTCTCATGCGATATACTGTGTAGCAGGATGAGACCGTAATAATTATAACCATTTGTTCTACAGCTGGGCAGTAAATCGGTTCATATTGTTGTTTTTGTTATGATATTAATTTTCCATATACTGGCATACCGGTTTAAAAAGACTGAACACGTTTGGAACGTTACATCACACCCACCAGTGAGCTGTTTCATGGGGAACGCTTTGCCCTGCAGCACCACTGAACACGCATACAGGAAATAGCAGCACACAGGACAAGCTAGTTGTCATTCATGACTATACTGTAACTGCCTCCTCTCACTGCTAATGTGACATAAGCCCAGAATGCTTGACTAATGTCTCCAACAAGAGAAGTAGGAAAAGACACAGACTAAAAGAGAAAAGTCAAGAAATAGTTTGTGATGCAGAAAGAGTGTAACTTCAGCTGATCAATAAGCAGCGTTTGTATATTTCAATGTCAGCCTAAACTGTGATGAAAAGAAAAAAGTACTGTCCTACAATACAATGATACAGATTGTTTAAAAACACTGTGATATAAAATTTTGGTCAAACTGCCCACTGTGCCCAGCACCAATTTGTTCTGACAGCTTATGGGACACATATAGAACAAACTTATCCATGATATAAATTTGTCCCCAAATCCAATTTTTTCCAAAAATAAAGCCCTAGTAATCCCACTCTGACTAAAGTTTGAAACTGACTACATGTTGAAAGAGGAAGTGGAAAAGATGTGGAAGGAAAAGCCAACAGATGTGCTGATGGGAAGCAGAACATGAGTTTCAAACCCCCAAATAATACCTCAGCAGATTTCAGATACAGCATGTTCAGCAGAGTGTAAAATCTTCAGGTGTGTTGCTGTGGAAAAAGGGCTGTTTGGGTGAAACTGGGTTTAGACAGTGACCCACCCCCCACCCCACCCCACCCCCCGGTTCACTCCCTGCTGATGAATCATCTGACACCTGTCACCACGGCTGTCTGTTGTCTCGTATCCTTGACGTTCTGCTTCAGGTCTGCTGGTGGTTTCTTCCACCGAGACGGTTCCTCTGGAGCAGTTCCTCAAGCTGTCCCAGGAGCAGCACCGGATCCAGCACAGTGGAGAATATACTCATCCCAAGTGGTTCATCCCAAACACACTCAAGTACTACATCCTCCTGCACGACATGAGTGAAGGGGACGAACAGAGGTACCAGTACATCATGGTTTTTAGAATGTGAATAAAATGTAATTTAAATGTATAACAATGGTTAGTAATTTGAAAACACATTGTAATTAAAGACACAACATTCTTTGAAAAAATATACAGATAATCTTAAGCAGTAAGGTATAGTTGTTCTGATCAAACTTTGAGAATGTGTAGTCTCATGTAATATGTGTTCTCGCTCCATCAGCTGCCACTTGGAGTGTGAAGTTGTGAATAACTTTACTATGGCACCAAATATTAGCAGTTTTGTATTTGCTAGCATTGGTTAGCTGTGGTGTCAGTTTAATCAGCTGGAGATGTTCATCAAGTGAGTACTTTCTCAGTTCATTTTAAACTTGTATGGTGGTTCAGGAGATAAAATTTTGTCTCTTGCACACTGACTGCCAGGGCTAGGCAGCAGCTTCCCCACGACCCTGCACAGTCAAGAAGATAAGATAAGATATTTTACTAACACTATAGACAAACGTAGGACGGACGGAGTATTAAGGCCACACTATGAGATTTTTTTTAAACAACGAGAATAAAGTCAGATTATGAGAACTCCGACACAAAATAAGCAGTTTTACTGCTGCGTCAAAATAAAGAAAGGAAATACTCTGTATTGGTGGAATTTAACTCAATGGATTCATACGATAAACTGATGCTGTGTAGCAGTGCAATTAATGGCTGCATTGATAGATTTAGATGTTGCATAATGTGGACGAAAGCACCACATTACAGTGATCCAAAAGTCGTCATGGACTATATCATAAACACACTAGCTACTGTATGTTTACATGCGCAAAGTTCTTTGATCGGATTAATCCCTGATTAGTTGTAACATTAGACTTTATTAAATACATATTTTAACTGTAAAATAAAGACTGTAAAAATACTGTAGGATGTTCACTTTTTATCATTTTTAAACTAAAAGTTAAAAATATATTACAATGACGGGGCCATTTTATTTACACACAAAGCATTCTGGGTAAATGATGACATCAACTAGGTCCTTGGTGCGAGGCTGCTAGCAAGCTATATCCACCCTGAAGGTTAATCTTGGACAATATCTGATGATCGACTCTTTTAAATGAAACCAGAGAGCGTTGACAGAGAGGAGAAGGTAGAAATGACTCAGCCTGGAACTGAAAATATGGATGGAGGACAACAGAGCTGCTTATGGAAGAAGAACCTCAGCTTAGCCTGTTAGCCTTTGTGCTAGCGCCGATACTATATTGCCTTATATGTATTAGCTCAGCGCTAGCGCAACAAACAAGCTAAACTGAAGTCCTCCATCCATATTTTCAGTTGCAGGCTGAGTCATTTTTGTGTTCCCCTCTCTGTCATGTGGATGGAGGACCTCAGTGACGAGAGGAGAATGTGTAGCTCTGAGCTAATGGTTACAGTTAATATATGTGCTTATCAAATAAAATCTAATGTTACAACTAATCATGGATCCTTTTAATCTACTGATATGCAGAGTTGTAAACTTTCCCCAAAAAAACACAGAAGAAGAAGTTCTACTTTTGTGATGAACATAAACAAATGCTGAAATAACTCTGTGTTCCTTCACTTCCAGTCATCATTGTGTTCTATAATTTTGAGCTCCTTCAAGTCTCTAGCAGAAATGTTGTATCACTAACCGACCAGTTTAACTTCCTCGACATATTAGAATCTAGCCAGGCAGAAATAAGTCAGGTTCACATTGGGCAAACCTGCAGTCAGGTCAGTTTTCCACAACCAGAATAACAAGATCAGAATAAGAGTTTACATGCAGATTATTATTCAGATTATCAATCGGCATAAACCACCCTGTCATTCAGATTACAAATTCATTTCAGTCGAGTTGAATCAGATCAGAGTATTGACACATTTTTATTCTGATTGTCTGTTTATTCTAATTCTATATATGACCATGTAAACATAGCTTGTAACACACATTAGATGTCCACAGCAGGTGTGAGCAGGGCGGTAAATAGACATGTCATTTAAGATTACTACTTTTTCTCATAATAGTTTGACTTTATTTTTTTAAATTAAAATATCTCATAATGTGGACCTAATGCTCTGTCATGCAAACACAGACATACAAAAACTTTACCCCCTCTTACCTTTGGTTTTAGGAAGTAGAGGTGCACAGATAAATCAGCACCAGTTTCCTTAATTTTGGGAGATCGGTCGATAAGATCGGTAAAAAAACATCAACTTCTCATTTTCCTCCACAAAGGTCTGAAAATCAGCCATAGTCCTCTTTTGCTTTGCTGTGAGCACTACCTGATGTCCAATTAAAACACTGAAGGTGTGACCTTATAACACCGGTGTCAGGTATTTAATAAATCTGTATCAGCCAAAACCAGAATCGGCAGGTCAGACTTTTTAAAGATAGGTGATCGGCCAGAAAACTGCAATCGGTGCAGCCCTGTTAGGAAGGTTTTCAATTTTCATTAATAGTTCTGTAACAGCTAAAAAATGGCAGCCTTTACAAAACTGTTTATAAACTGTTAAATCAACACTAAATAGGTTTTATAAATATGTTGCTGTGTTCTTTGTAAGTCCTGTTTGTTTAATCTGTTTCATTTTGTTGCAGGGCAGAGACGGTTTATGAAGATATGAAACAGAGGTACGGTCCTCACGGCTGTTATTTGCTGAAGATAAACTCCCGGACCACGTCTGCTGAACAGGATGAACAGATTCCAGACCCCTGGAGCCAGTACCTGCTCAGGAGCAACCAACGAAACCAGGTGAGGACGATAGAGCACAGCAGCACACAGCAACATGACTTTGAAGGAAAGAATCGAGATTACTGAAGAGTGATCAGAGTGAATCTGAAACTACCAGGTTCCAGTTAGTAATCTCTACATACCTTTTTGTTTTTATTGTCCAACACCAAAGAAGAAAAGACAATATTATTGTTGTCTCTGTGTGTGTGTATGTGTGTGTGTGTGTGCATGTTCTTTTAGCTGTAGTGCTAGCAGAATATCTCATGAAACACTTAATGAAACCATCAAAAAATGTCCACTGGATACGATACGATACAACATTTAGCTAACAGATATTAGGCATTAACTGTTAGAGACAACACTAATATCTCATGAAACACTGAACAGATTTCAGTGAAACTCAGATTGTAGTAATTCTTTGTACACCTACTACAACTTGTTAACTTTTGAAGTCTCCAGATTCTGGGCCCTGCTGAAGGGATTGTCTAAACATCAACTGCAGGGTTCGACAAGATTTTATTTTTTACCTGCCCTGTTGGGCAGGTGACAACAAAAGTTACCTGCCCGAAACAAAAATGTTCAAATTTTGATAAAATAAGAAAAACATGTACTGTACTTTGTACTACAAAAATATTAACATGGTTATACAGAGGTATATAATATATGACATCTGATTAAACAGATGTAAACATTTTAGACTGAGTTAATAACAGTCAATTGTATTATCAAGAACATCTTCAAAAAGTGTTTCCCTAGAGTACTGGCCTTGGGGGCGGGGTTTATGAAAACAGAATGATCAACAGCAGCAGCTTTGTTTTAAAACAATTTACAGAACATGAAAAAGTCTGAAATTTGCATTAATTAAATCTTATGTAGTGAATCTCATATCCAAAGATACATTTAAGATATGTTGAACTGGAGTCTCCATACAACATGATGATAAATCTAATGTTATCTATACAAGTCAGAATATTATTAGAGATATCTTAAATAGGTATTTTGAATTGTCAAAATATATTAAGAGATGTCTGTTTATTTGTTTCTTTCTTTCATAAATAAAAACATAAAAACAAAACCATCTATGTACAGCATTAAAAAATACAAAGTAAATCATACCCTGAAGTAAAAGAGTGCAGAGTGAAATAAAAAAAAACTTTCATCATATTTGCCCCTTATTTTCAAAAATCATCTTCAACAAACAAACAATCTCAAGCTGGAAAGTTCTCCAAATTAAAAAACGTAAATAAAACAAAATAATAAAAGAAAACATTTTATTATTTTATCCTAAATAACTAATATGTCTAATATAGTCATAAAACAATTTCAGATAACTAGAATATAAGTGTGGTGAAGCCAAATAAATGATAGATCGGCCTGCCATACTATGAGCTTCTGACCCGCAGCTGCTCCTCTCTCATCTTCATCATCATCTTCATCAGAGCAGAAGCCGACATTAGCAAGATGGATTTATGACTGAACGAACATCCACATATTTTTTTCATCTCTGCGAGTAACAATACATTAAAAAAAACATTTTTCCTCCGAAAACACGGGTGTGAAAAAAGCTACAGTTGTTAAACCTTCTCTGCGCGACGTGCAGCAGGAAGGAGGGAGGAAGTGATCCTGCGACACGACGGCGAGATGTCACTTTTCTACAGCGGGAGGGAGGGGGACATTTTGACGATTTATTCTCTCTTTACGTGTTTTAAAACGCCATATTTCTTCATTTATTTTCAGAATATTCTGAATAAATGGCCCTATAAAAAAATAAATGAAATTGTTTACCTGCCCGTTCGGGCAGGCATTGGGACACACCCACCTGCCCAACAATGGGTTTTACCTGCCCCGTGCAGTCGGGCAATAGGATTTGTTGAACCCTGATCATTTACTGTCAGAGTCGGTCTCATTTTTGAGTTTGTTGGTCAAGTATTTTTGAATTGAATTGAATCGAACTGAATTGAACTGAATCGAATCGAATCGAATCAAATTGAATTTTGTCAGAACATGGTGTTCTAACGTGGTGATCGTTTTTACAGGAGGTGTTGGATCTGGCTCCAGCTGCTAACTCTGCTGCTGTTGAGAACAGTGTCTGTGCATCGGATGTGGACTCAACCGAGAAAGGTCAGAGGTCACTGTCTGCTTCATTTATACAGTTGTCAATGATATTTTACACATTATTATTAATACTTTAAAGGGCCTGTGACATCAGGTATTTTTAATGACTGTGAATGCATTTTTGGAAAGATAACATTAATAACATATTACAAAACAAATTTTACGCCACTCAGATGAACAGTTGTTGAGATATTTGCATGTGAAGCAACAGGAAGTGATGTCAAAGGGGAATGTCTGCATGTGAGTGTTACTAAAATGGCTGACAACACAGATTATAGAGAAGAATTTGGTGTTTCTTCAACTTATTTTGAGTCTCGGTCAGAGGGAGATGAAGAGTCTGAGTTCAAATAACATTGTTTCGGTGAACAAAGCCCAAGGAGTCCCTTTTCTTAAAGAGTTCCCCTTTGATGTCACTTCCTGTTTCACTTTTGCTGAACCAAGTTCAAAGAAGAAATGCCAGTTATTTGACAAAATGGGTAAAATTTGTGTGTTTTATGCCAAATTCCTTTGACTTTTTGTATATGAAGAATATACATGTCACAGGCACTTTAAGCTTTGTTTTTCACTTTGAAAGTTTCTTTTTGTGAGGACATGTTTACACAAAATATTAAAACGAACAAATAACCTGTGTTGTTCTCGTGTGAAGATGGATCCGGAGAGTCCAGTAATCTAGAGACCCATCCTCTTCAGCTGGACACAGACACAAGCTCAGCAAGCCTCCAAGCCCTGAGTGACGTCAACACCGAGCTGAAGAAAGGTTCGAGGGACACGGACATCCTGACACCAGGAAACTATGGAGCCTGTCTGACCCTGAACGACCACGATCACATCCGACAGTTCGTCCAAGAATTCACCTTCAGAGGCCTGCTGCCACACGTCGAGAAGAACATCAGACAACTCAACGACCAGGTGCACCTCCGACTGTACAGCTGGGGTTTGATATCACAAGCTGGTTAAATTCAAAACTAACCTTTCACAAGTTTCTTTAATGGCATTAAAATAAAGTGGACAGCCAGTGAAGTCGTTCCAAGAAGCTCAAAAATGGAAAAAAGCTCAACAACAAAAACGTAAAGTAATTCACTGATAAATATTATCAGTAACACATAAGCCTGTTACAATAATCAATAGATCAATTAATTGCAAGATTTAAAATAAGGAGGTTGATAATTTTCATTTCCCTGCTTGTTTGTTTTCTTCGTGTCTCCCTTTTTTCTACTCAACGTAGGGAGGAGTGACTCTGGTGTCAGGTATTTTTACCAGGCACATGGTCTCTAACCTCTGCAACATGAGAGCCATTTAGCCAGAGGAGCGTCTTCAGTTTTCCAAACGTTTTGTTCCAGCTGGCGACGCCACAGGGCATCACGCTGAACCTTGGGTTCGCCTAGAGTTGTTCCTTCTTAAAATACGTAATTTTAATGTGAACTTCATAAGTGCCTGTTATTGTGTAGTTTTCACAAACTTCAGGTCCAGGTTAGCCTGGCCCTTGCCTTCCTACCTAGTTCCGCTCAATTCTAGGTTCCCTTCACTGCTCCGTCTGGGATTTCTCCCTTAGACAAGGATTTCTTCAGGAGCATTTCATTCGGGCCAATCAGAGAACAGAAGGAGGAGTTTTGACTGACGTCGATTTTCTGCGCAGTGTCTGCTAGTTATTTTAGCATACGGCAGTGGAGGAAGTGAATGAAGCCAGTCCATCTTGATAAGGCTTCCAAATTAAATTAAATTTGTCTGACAAAGCAGCAGCTCTCTTTTATAGTCTTCTCGTTCGGCTCGGTACTTCTCTCCTCTCAGTAGGGTTGTTTACAGCGCACGCAATTTCCGGTTAGCTTCTTAGCTTAGCCTCCTTCACAGCGACATACGTCGCGGCCAACCGATCCATTTATTTTAAACTTCAGCAGAGGCCACGCCTCCATCAAGAATCACTTCTCTATAGCCCAGAGTCCAGACCCTTGTACGAAACAAAGTAAAGGACAAGGGTCTGGTTTTTACCAGGCTACATCCACGTTAGTCTGTAATGTTTTTTTCATATGTAAATTTCATCTTTATATTAGTTTAAAATGGTCTCTTTATCACAATAATTTCTATGACAATTTATCGTCCAAGCCTAATAACACACCTTCTTCTGAAAACTTTAAATTTCATGTGTTTTTGTTGAGATAGCAATAAAATTAACAATTTTTGTTGACTGTTTTCATTTTGTAATCAGTGATCCCAACATGTGGTCATTTATTAAGGCTTATTTCCACCCTTCATTGTCGTCCTAGCATGTGTGTGTCTATGTTCTGATGATTCTTCACGTGTAACAGCGTGCAGAAAAGGACGTACAAATGACGTATGTGTTCATGTGAGAAGATGGACCTGGAGATGAGTTAATTGAGAGCGAGCTGAACGACATGCCTAAAACATATCACTGTTCAACAACTCGGTCTTACATCGTCTTGTAAGAATATTTTGTGTTCGTTAACTGAAATCATGACAAAACCACATATATATTGAAGATTAAAATGTGAAGAGAATGGAAACCATGCAACCCCAGATCTGGTAATGAGCAAAGCTTTATTGCTTATGCTGAAGCAATCGGCGCAACGCTGCCTGAAACCCTGAACTTCTGGTCCTTTTATACAGTGTCTTCAGTGCCTTGTCCGCCCCCTTGTGGCCTACGGCTGAATCGCAGGCACTCTGAACAACCACATTCACATAATGTATTAGAAACGGCTTGTTATGTGCTGTAAAAATGTTTCGGGCATGTATCTAAACTATTTTAATCAAGACATAACAATAGTTAAACAATGGGCTGTAATAGTCAATACTTAAAAAGGAAAACTAAGAAAATGGTGTAGTGTTTTTAAAATCAGTAACTAATCTGACTAATAAATTTCTTCAAATCCCCCTGTTCACGTGACAAAATCATGTGAGCAGTCTTCTCTTTGATCCCTGTCTGACCTTAGCTACATCTAATGCTGCATTCACTCTGAACACGACTTCAGTGTCAGGAGCATCAGGTTTACATGCAAAATCTATGGTGGACACACCATTAGATTAGAGCGGCGCGATTTGGTCGAACGCTGGAGTTGGAAAATCTGAACTTTTGCTGCTTGATGTGGCGCGTCAACCAATCAGAGAGACTCCACTCTGTGACGTAGGCTGTGTCCAAAACAGCAGGACGGGTCCTCCGAAGGTCGAATTTGTCGGCCGCATACGTCACAGCGC